GTGCAAAAGTAGGACCTTTTGATTTAAAAAATGGAAGCACTGCGCCAAATCACTATTCCGTCAATTCGTCTTCCTGGAAGGCGGAAGTATTAATTGTTGATAAAATATAATTGTTGCGATTATACTGTGCGCACAGTTTTGCTGGCTGTTCATTGTTGTTTGGTAAAGATAGTTACAGCAATACGAAGTTGATTAATTGGGCTACTTGAAAGATTGCAAGGTTAGCTATGCATATTCTGATATGTTATTTATGGTAACATTTATTATGGTAATTAGTATAATTGTTACAAATATATTGGTCATATTGTGTAGTGACTTCAGACGGTTTAAGGTTCGTCGATTGTTCAAATTGGTCATTCTTAGAACAGGCCTTCATAGCTTAGTCAAATTTAATTCGAGAACAAAATGAAATGTATGAGTAAATTACGGGCTAAATCAGCTTTGACTCAAGGATAAGGGGGCGATATCGAGCAACAAAGAGGCCTGCACTGGCGTTAACTGCGGCGTGCGTGCTACTCTTATCAATTGCAAAGCTTCTGGGCAACGCTCGCGTTAATTCCAGTTCTTCTGAACTGACGTGATTACCCTGCTGAAATAAAATCTATTTAATTTAATTAACACTATACATAGTTTATATTTATTCACAAGCATTGCGAACCTGAGTATTGTTGGATATTTAGACGAGACATCGTATTTTATAGCCTCCTCCGCAGGCATCTCTTATGAATTAAAAATACGCATATTTGGCTTGGGCTACTGTGTAGGGGGAGCGAGAAAACGTCCTTTATATTTAAAACATGACTTCAAAGCCTTCGAAAATTTCGGTTTATAACGTTTCCTGCCGATTGGTAGCAGGGAATTTCTCAGGGTTGTGAAAGATGTAGAAAAAAACAGTCGGTAATACAAGTGAAGCTAAATGCAGAAAATTTAAGAACACAATTAGGCGAGCTTGCTACCGATATTGAAGCGACCGAAGACAAAGTGCAAGAAAGATTAATAGGAATCGCACTGTTCGCACGAAGAAAGCTTTCTATTCCGCTAGCTACTACAAAAGAAAGAACTATCGCGCGCACACCGGGAGGAACAAAACGAAAAGGTTTGCCGATTGACTTGTTTTTTACGGCATTTATGGTAATGATGCATTATTAATTCCACTCACAGCCATATAAAATGACATTGGAAAACGTTCGATACGCATTATATATGGTATATATGATTGTTATTTTACACAGTGGTATTTGCAATTGTGTTGAAGTGCACATTAATTATGAACAAATCCCTTATTACAGTTAGGTTCAGTTAGGCTCGGTTAGGTAATATAAAAATTATGCCAGTAGTATAAAAATTACCGCATTCAGTAAAAGATATTGATCTGACTTTTTAATTTTTAATTTTATTTAATCCATCATGTACTCAAAACAAGGATGACAGAGAAAATAAGGAGGACAATAGTTTGTTTTGAAGGAAAAGAGCTTTCAAGTGACCCAGTGATATCTAAAATACAAGATAATTGTAAAAACATATTAATTACCTACACTGTAGTTTATCATCATGGGTTGTAAAATTGCAATATTATAGTACATTTCCTAATTATAATTTTGTGTGAACAACTGTGTTGGGATAAAATTTTTTGAAGATCAAATAATGCTATTCATTATGACACCATATATTAACATTGTAACATGATTACTGAAGTTTTCACTCTTTTAATAATAATTTGTGTGGTATAATATGGGATCTGCACCCTGTGCTTGTCATTGGTGATATTTACTGTGTGGATTAAATAATAATTATGTAGGAAAATATCAGTAAGTTAACCAAATTCTAACTTCTACATCACATGCAGTTTTTGAATTTCTTATAAGTTCCTCTTTATTTTTGGTTCCCTTCCATTAGATCCTCCTGTTATAAAGGTGCTACTCTGAAGGAGCATAATTTGAATTTGTTCAGTTTGGACTGGATGTATCCTGAAATTAAGAAAATATGATAAATCAGGTCTACCTGGTCAGGTCTATCAGGTCTACTAAATCAGATATTACCCTGATTTGCTTTTTATTACAGTCCATCTGTTAGCCATTGTAGCAGATAATCTAATTCTAAAATTTCAAGAGGTGCTTATACTGTATACATAAGACCAAATTTTTATTTGCTATTAATTAACCAGCGGGAGTGTTTTATTAAGTCTAAGGCCTGGTTTTGACTTGTTACAAATATCTAACCTGACCCTGGTAGGACTTTATTGTGCAAATTACTGTTTTGGAATTTAGACAGCATGTCTTTGTCAGTAAATTCTAATTCATTTAACAGGAGATAGCACCTAAACTGTATCCCCATAATTTAGAGTATACACACAATACTTAAACAGGTAAGTTTACAAGCGTCAAACAAGATTTGAATGCAGTTGCAAAACAAAAGATTAAGGAACTCAACAATCAACCTTACATACAATGAAAATATGAAATGACACAGGAGGAGGCATACATCTATGTCTATGATCTAGGCTAGCAATACATTCAACTCGACGATCGAACATCAATCCCACTTTTATCGCAGCCTCCCAAGAACTATTCGCTTGAATTAAAAGGCATAACCCTTCGCCTTCACAGGCTGCGTTAAAACTGTACGCGTTTACTGAGCCAAAGCAGGCAAATTCGATATTTTCTCGATAACATTTGCTCGATTTCGCCTAAATGCACAGCCATGTTGACATGTGAAATAATAGCTATTTTGATATGGATATAATCCATATAAAAAGTATCAAATTACATTCTACAGACTACACACTTCACGGATTATCATGTCAAAATTACAACACACAAAATTTTACGCAAATTTGTAGCAAAATGCTTTCACTTCTCTTCACTCCCGCCTATACACGGTACGATTTTAACATTTTTTTCTAAAATTTTTATGTATATAGTAATTGGTATGCGCAATGCAATTTGTTGTGTCGATTTATGGCCTTCTCTGCATGGCACAGCTCAGAGGACAGAGCTCACCCATGCCTTATAATAACCTAATATAATTTAATACATAAGAGATGTCTGTGGAGGAGGCTACGTAATTTAAGAATAGAAATTAAAGAATGTGAATATCCATGTTTGTTTCCAAAGCTTCCTCTTTTAATTCGTGGTTTTTCAATATAAGCCTATATTCAGGGCCGTACCTAGTAATTGTGGAGGGGGTGATAAAATCATATCTTCGTGTTTTACACGTAATAATTATGTGCTCTTCACAAATGTAAATATTTCATGCTGTATTGCTGTATTTAGTGTTACTTGATTGTATATATTCTTTATCAATCATGTGCGACGTGTCAACGCACCACAATCGACCACATCTTTAAAACTGTGAAATAGAAGGAGCGTTATTACATATCTATGTTATTAAAATAGGACCAAATTCACATGCATATTTAATGTAATTTTACCGCAGTGAAACCGAAATTTAATCTAACAGACTTACTAACAGTAATCAAATTGTTGACTATAGGTGAAGTTGCCATATCATGTGATTAAAAAATGAAATCGCGCAGCGGAAAATTGACCCATTCATCATCGATTAGAACACCACGGCTGTTGCGAGGCAAAACGCTGACCATACGATCTTTACACGGCTAAAATCTCTGAGCCTGCGGGCTTCGTTTTATCAGCATGGAACAATTTTGTTGTGCTGCCAAGCTGTTCACACTTGTCACCAACATTGAACAATATTTTTGAAAATGAATCGGGTGTAACAAGATTGTTCAATGTTGATAACGACCCTGAACAATGTGGGCCGCACAACATTGTTCCATCCCGTTCCTATAAATAATCAACCTGATCGTTTTTAGGCGAACTTCACATCATTTCCACTAATGCTTGGATCCGTTATAGTTTAAACTGGGTCTAAACTCATTGATTTAAGGGTTGCCAGATTACTGAATAATGTAGTTAAATATTATTACCGCATCCTTTGTTTTCGTTGTTTGAGACATTAAAGAAATCAAAGAGTCAGGTCTATTTACTCAGTTTCTGTAGTTTAATCGGTTTTAAATGTTTAATCAACTTTAAATGTTTAATCCGTTTTTTAATCTCACAAACGAAAATCTCAAATTTCGGTGAAATTCTTTCATTTATTCTGATTAGTAACCAGCGCACTGATTCTTTCTTGGCTGGCACGGCGGAGCACGAAAAAAAAGCTGGTTATGGATGCGACCTGCCAGTGCCCGAACTTAAGATAACACATGCGCAGTTCCAATAGTTCCGAACGAACTTAAATATGGCGCTACCTCGATCCAGGCAGCCTAGCATATATAGGTTTTATCTACACTCCAGATGTCTCAGCTTGGAAGAAGAATTCAGCAGAAGGCTTATACTGGGTGCTTCACCTTATACTGGGTGTCATACTGGGTATATAGGGTGTTCGATTGATTCTTAATGATAAAAGTTATCGAAATGAAACAAGTTTTATTAGTTAGAGGAAAAACTAACTTAAAGTATAATAATGTCATGGTTCCATTTTAAGAAAATTGATCGAGATAATCATTATATACTTTTCAAAATCGGTACACCAATTTGTATGTTCCCCCATTTTAGGGATGTAGCTCTAAAATATGAAAATTACGCTTCATAAAAAGAATTGCTTATTTGTTAATTATTATTAATTTATTACCCGAGAAAACAATTATTTAATTGCGTCTTTGTGAAAGTAGTGTCGCAGCTCCTCGCAAGAATAATGTTCATTGGCTGAACTTTACAATACATTTCTGTTTCAACGAATAGATTAGCTTCGTTCCTTAGAAGACCATTATCCAATTGGACGAAAGCTTGCGAGAGCTGCGACATGTCCGCTTTGTGATATAATAGAGGAATTTTCAAGGTCTTGCGAAATGGTATCATTCACGCTAACCATGACGGCTGATAATTCTTGATGTATCATATGCAACTACCTCATCCAGTCATTGTTTAATGATATTGTACTAATAATGATACATTTGCCTTTATTTGTAGGAATGTTAATATGTTGGGAATTTTTGGAGCAGCTCAAAGAGGAAATTTTAAGCGTGTAAAGGAGTTGGTTGAAAATGGTGTCGATGCTAATGGAGTGGACTGGTCAAATAAAAATATGACAGCTCTTCACTATGCCGTCATATCTCGCTCCTTGGATATTGTAGAATGTTTAATAGGACATGGCGCGAGTATTAATTGCGGAAACAGCAAGGATAGGACTGCCCTTCATTATGCGGTCAAATCTAAATCATTCCACATAGTAAAATACTTGATTGAAAATGGTGCCGACGTAAATTGTAAAGACCGTTTGAGTGAAACTCCTCTGCACATTGCTGCCACCTCAGGTTCACTGAAAATGGTGAGATTTTTGGTTGAAAATAATGCTGATGTGAATTGTAAAGCCCCCGAGGGCAAAACTGCTCTTCATTTTGCAGCCGAATCCAAAGCGTACGAGATTGTCAAATATTTAGTTGAGCGTGGTGCCAAGGTCATCTCTGAATACAATGAAAACTTCAAGACTGTTCTTTATGTGGCTTGTGAATCCGGTGACAGCCAAATAGTTGATTACCTCCTGCAACACGGAGCTGTAAATGATATAGATAGACACGATAATTTAGACTGTTCTCCTCTAAAAGTGGCTTGCTTTAGAGGCCATACAGCCGTTGTGCAAACTTTGCTCAAGTTTAACGTTAATATAAAGAATAACAAGCAATTGATATGTGGCAACGAAGAAATCTTGACTATTCTGAAGTTTGAATTAAGGGAGGTTCCAAAGTCCGTTAAACATGGCGAGAAATTCCACATTTTAAAGAATATCGATGTTGGAAAGCTAAAGAAGGTACATAGATTAATTTTAGTCTGTATTTATTTTAAGACAGAACTAAAATATCGCTCGAGAGTCTTAACCCCGACTGAAAGTAGTATGAAAATATTTATCAAATTCGAAATTTTTTCTTTGTATCAATCAACCTGTAAACGTTACATTCATAAGATGAAAAGTTTGAGGTGCAAAAAATAAATTTCGGTTCAGATTTCATTCTTATGTCACGTCTTTCTTCGTTGAAGCCGGTTTTTTGGAACTAAAGCAAGCCGATGCAATCGCATGCCTCGACGTATACGCTATTTGCCTCCATGTCACGTCGCAAAATGCACTTAATTATTCCACTTAGTTGATTGCAAAGAGAGTCATCCCAAAAACGAATCCAAGATCGATTAAACAACAACAACAACAATAAGATGTAGGTTATTTGAAAAATAAGCAAACATTTTTGTTTTGAATGGCGTGATGTCTGCGATTTATTGGTCAGCGTAACAATCTTTTTTAATTCGCAAGTCACCATAGTTACATCCCTTTGTACTTTTGAAGCTAAGCATGCCCGCACAAACATACACTCATCACGTGTTGCTCTTAGTTACCTAATGACCTAATCTCACAAATATATTTCGAACTTCGTGGTTAACTGATCATTTTTAAGTTTTTTATTTTCAATCTAAATATTTTTTGGGAAACGTCTGTAAAGAGATCTTAAAAAACTTGTGACATTATACTCGTTTCAATGAGGAGTCCAGCTTTAGGAATTCGTCTTTAGCATGTTACATGTTGCTTGTTTTATATTTCCTCCTTGTCCCGTAGATTGGGCCTCCACTACAATATTTTGCCTCAGAGAAGCAGTTAAGCCTTGGTTGTGGTTCATTTGGCACGTCTGTGTACGTCGGAATCTTAGAAGATGGTAGCGAAGTGGCTGTTAAAAGGATATTGCGTGAAGCTGCCGATGAGAATGAAATTGCTGTCCTGAGACGAATAGACACAACGAAATTGCCATATATTTTGAGCTATCGTTATTTTCTTGAAGACGAAAACTTCAAGTATATAATCTTTGATCTTTGTGAAGAAACATTGAGCGCCTATGTAAAATCACAAAATGTCCCGCACCTGCGAGAACAAGGCCCAAGGATGATCAAGGAGATTTTACTAGGTGTAAAATGCCTTCATGATCAAAGAATCTTACATAGAGATCTCAAGCCTTCAAATATATTGGTTGATTTTGAGGGACATTTGAAAGTAGCAGACTTTGGACTCAGCCGCGTTTTGAAAGAAGGTGAAACAACAGTTAAAACTTATGCAAAGGGAACACGAGGCTGGATGCCTGCCGAAGTTATAGAAGCGGGAAATGAAGAAGAAAAAGGACGTTATAAGAAGAAATCCGATATCCAATCTGTCGGTATGATCGCTTTTTTCATTTTAACAGGTGGTAAACATCCCTTCGGGGCTACCATGCAAGAACGTATGACAAATATCTCAAAAGGAAATCCTGTTGACTTATGCAAACTTGAAGATGCTAATGCCAGACACTTTGTAGCATGGCTGATCAGTCATGATATTGACAATAGACCTTATGCCAGTGAAGCATTGGAGGATTACATGTTCCATAACATTAAAAGTGTTGAGGAACCTCAAAATTCTCTTATAATCTCGCGTGAGAGTTACCTCACTTTACTTTTTTAATGGTCAATTTGAGCCATTATTGTGCATGGTCTTCAATACTACTACCGTGGATGAAAAGTTTTTGTAACCGTTTCTCTTCTTGAAACGACAATAGAGTTGGCACTGTAATAGTATTGGACTTTTTAACCTAATATTGCCAAAAGGTAATTCACTAGGTAATAGGTAATAGAGTATTGCCAATAGGTAATTTACTTTAATATTTTTAGCCTTTATAACTTAGAAACACATTCGATAGAAAATATAGAATATAATTATCACATATGATTAATATTGATATTGACATTAATATTGCTCCATAACATTAAAAGTGTTGAGGAACCTCCAAATTCTCTTATAATCTCGCGTGAGAGTTACCTTACTTCACTTTTTTAATGGTCATTTTGAGCCATTACTGTGCATGGTCTTCAATACTACTACCGTGGATGAAAAGTTTTTGTAACCGTTTCTCTTCTTGAAACGATAATAGAGTTGGCACTGTAATAGTATTGGACTTTTTAACCTAATATTGCCAAAAGGGAATTCATTAGGTAATAGGTAATAGAGTATTGCCAATAGGTAATTTACTTTAATATTTTTAGCCTTTAACTTAGAAACACATTCGATAGAAAATATAGAATATAATTATCACATATTATTAATATTGATATTGACATTAATATTGCTCTATTATAACTAACCATTAATCTTATAATCTTTTTATAACTCTCCAGATACCTTTTTTAAACTGAAACTAATTGTCGACCGCTTAGCTCTCAAATTTTCTTATTATTCTGCCAAGAATATGGAATAAGTATAAAGTACGTGGTATCGTATGGTTTATACTTCATACAGACTATCTGTATTCGTGCGGAATACAGATATTTGTTTTCCAAAGCCGTTAACAAAATTCTCAACGAAATGCACCCAAAATGGTTCCCTTCTCTAACGTTACCACAAACATGCATTAATAATTCCATTTAATATCGCTTTAATTTTCGTTATTTTCCCTACCAAAACACCAAATGAATGAATGAACTTCACCTGGTTCTATAAGTATAAACTAGCAAACTGAAAATGAGGAAAATAGATAAAAAGTTGTATCTTTGGCCCGTTTCAGATGCCAAACTTTTTATGTACCGAATCAAATCCAAATGAGCTTAAACATAGACTTTATCTCATTAACATTAGGTTCGGCACATGAAAAGTTCGACGTCTTAATTAAAGAGGTCTTAAGTTAACGTTTTTAAAAAGCTAGTATCATAAAAAGGTTATAGATCCAGGAGGCATTTATACTTAATTATACATGTACACAAACTTAGCCCAAGTAATCCCGTCTTACGCCAAGTTTATACACTCAAATTTTCTTTAATCGCAATTGACCTTTTCAAGCAGCAAATCCTAAGTTTCAAAGTATTTCAAATCAGCTTGACGTTTTAATAGCACGTTTTTTATACCAGCGTTTATGTGTGTGGGTCTATAATAGGAAGTTTGAGCAAGGCAACGAAGTACGAAGACGAAGACAAACGTCACAATTTTTTAACGTCTGCGCATCATTTGCGCATACTCCGCTTAAGGTCAGCGGTGAGGGTTTAACGTCTTCGTCCTGTTGTCCTGGTTTAGGACGAATATTTTGACAAAGTTCGTTGTGGTCAGAACGAAGTTTTCAAAGTAAGATATATTCAAGCCAAATCTTGAATAGTTCTTGTATGGAATATAAATGTTGTTTGAGATTTTTAGACCGTAAAGAAGCATAACATCTTCCACTTCCAAAGCATCTTCTGAAAACATTGCTAAAATAGCCATCTCGTATTCAGCTCTGTTCATGTTTACAAAATTAGTACCGTGTTCGTAGTCGTATAACTTTGACAAAACTGCTCAATTCAAATATCCCGCTGCACGAAGACTTAAGACGAAGACTACTATTCCCAGTCTACCTCGGCCGAAACACGTCTTCGTCTTCGTGCTTCGTTTCCTTGCTCAAACTCGCTAATATGCTGCTAAAGACAGTGCAGCATAACTGCATCTCAATATGATGAACTACAGATTAGAAAAAAAGATAATATATAGTTCTGATTATAAATGCTTTTAGTTAGTTACAATTAAAAACACTCTGTTGCCTATGAGGAATCAAGTTTCCTGCGAGGTATAATCATAGAATCCTCGCCTAAGCTAAGGAACTGTACGCAGCAGAGATCGGCTGTGGCAAGCTCTAAAAGGCTAATTTCCACTCCGGAAAACGAGCAGCGGATCGGATTGGAACGAAAGATAATCCGCGCGTGCGCCGTCTGTTGAAATTTTTGGCTTATATTGACCCGAAAGCGTCCGAGACCGGATAAAAAAAAGTTTAAATAGTTTTAACTTTTTTTTATCCGATCCGAAATCACTTCATGGATCGGACCAGGCTCGGAAAAAAATCCGATCCGCTGCTCGTTTTCCGGAGTGGAAATTAGCTAGCCTGAATGGGTGGCAGCGAACATGGATTATCACATTTTCGCAGTCGTACTCTTGTACCCACCGAATACCATTTCAGCAGCGACATTGTTGAAAAATGTAATGCATGAAATGGGAAAATGAATCTAAAATCTAAAATGAGAAAACATTTATGTATATGTATATCCATAAAGATCATTATTATGTCAGTTTAAATACGAATCCGACAAACTTGGTACCATTTTACATACCATATATATCGAAGCAATCGTCGTGTACGCGGTTTGGCCGGAAATAAAAATTATTTTTCAAAAAAAAATGTAAAGGTATAGAACTGAGGCGAAGTGATAGGGCATAGATTTGCAAACCGGCCTGCATGCATGTGCTTACATGGTTATTACCAATATTCGTCACACTTATAATACCAGACATAATCTACATTGTTTATCGTAGCAGTAAACCAGGAGTAGCGAAAGTCGAATGAATGTTTAATGTGAATTCCAATTATTCGCTTTCAAATTATCTATCTAGCTAGGTACGGCCTTGACGAAAAGTTACAAAAAACAAGGAAATAATATCTCAGCTGAAAAGAATTAAGAGCCCTAGGGCTGGTTTTTGTTTAGTCGCATAAATACCGTAAACGCGTGTCAAGTTGATTGACATTGGATTAGTGCTACACGAGTGCGGTAAATAATGGTTGATTTTTATACAAAAAATGTCAAATTTACATTCGAACTACTTAACATGGGCGAGAATGTTCTGTTCATACTAATTGTGATTTATGTAAAGATATTCATATTTTCATTACAGGCACCAGAGTGCCCGCTTGTGTAAGCTTTTTGCTAATTTCAGCCCTGTGTCTATTATCTAATTTGTGAGAAGTTGGTAGCATATTTATTGTGTTCCTTGATGGCGAAGTTTGAAATATACAGGTTTGCAAACCTATTCATCATTTTGCCAAAATCCTCCTGGTTTCATGATTTTATGGCATCTCATCCCATACGTGTAACGAGTTATATTATTTCCTAAAGAGTTTAGAAATAAAAATTACATGAAACAGATATATATTAGATTTTTTGGATGATGGGGCGAAATTTCTCGCTATGTTACATAAAAATTGTAATGCTTAAATATTCCCAGCACTGGGAAGGGGTGTCAAAGAGCCATGTTCAAGCAACGAAGGAATTGCCCTTTGCTCCCTTGCCACAAGTGAACCCTTGGGAACTACGGACACGTCAAATTGAATGTAAAAATTGAGTGCATTGGCGGGAATTTGGAGTCATACGGCGTGAGATACGGTATAATATTATTATACTCATCAAAATTACCAATGTATGTGCAAGAAAATCACACCCTTACGTCTCCACGATAAAGTGGGTTCTTTACTCTTAGAGCGATGTTTAACGACGCACTGTTGAAATTATCTTCAGACACCATCAGTCACTTGTAGTACTCCCAAGATGAAAACAGAAGTATCTACAAAGTAGCATTATCGATCGCTATCCTTCACCAGATACCAAATAAATTGGAGAAAAGAACAATATATAGTATCATAATTCAGCTAAAAAGTACTTGAAAATCATATTGCGGTGTTAACACAAGTATGACTTAATATAATATAAGATAATATATAGCATAATATAAGAATCTAAGATTGAAATTACAATTATTACAATGCTATAGTCACTTGCATTTATAAAATTAAGGTTGACTGTATAAAACAAACTATCCAGGTCAAATAAGTAGCTTTTCGAAGTTTTTAATTTGAGGGCTACTTAGCTTATAGTTGCGTAAAACATTACTTGCTTTATTTACGATCAGAACTTATGGACATGCAATCTCTATTCACCAAGGGTAAATGGCATACCATGGACTAGTCATTATACAGTCTGACATTAAGCATTCATGTTTTTTCTACTTAACATTGACCCTGTCACCTTCAATTGAATCGACATTGTCACACAACAGTTCATTTGGACACATTCCTTAACAAATGTATATGTGATGTTGCTACTCTGATTCACCAACCGGGCAAGCTGAGAAATTAGCTTGACCATGGTGGGAATCGAACCCTTGACCTTTGGTTTGCTAGTCCAATGCTCTTCCAACTGCGCTATATACAAGGTCAAGACGGTTCGAGTGGTTGATATTCGGAACTGATTCTAGTCCCTTCCATATCTGTGTGTCTTAAATTGATAGTGATGATGCAAAGACTCTGGTGTGTATATTAATTGTATATTGCATGCATCATCACTATCAATTTAAGACACACAGATATGGAAGGGACTAGAATCAGTTCCGAAATATCAACCAATCGAACCGTCTTTACCTTGTAGCTCAGTTGGAAGAGCAATGGACTAGCAAACCAAAGGTCGCGGTTTCGATTCCCACCATGGTCAAGCTAATTTTTCCGCTTGCCCGGTTGGTGAATCAGAGTAGCAACAACACATATACAATTAATATACACACCCGAGTCTTTGCATTATCACTATTCCTTAACTGATTATTGACCGAGCATGAGGTCTGTACAGAAAAATATTAGGCCTTTGGATAGACCGCGCTTCGAAAATTGGGGGAGCGAAAAGAGAGAA